GAATTCTGGGTGTTGAAAGTCCCTTCCACTTACAACATAATCTTGGGAAGGACATGGCTGCATGCCATGCGATCGGTAGCGTCAACCTACCATCAAGTAATGCGGTTCCCTAACGAAACCGGAGTAATTGAAGAGGTCCTTGGAGACCAAATTATGTCCAAACAATGCTTCGTCATAGTAAATGGCAGCCGTGCTGCCAAGGGGTATGTACAGATGGTGGAAGAATCTGAGAACAATGAGTTGTTCGCGGATGTTGGCAAAGCCGCTGAACAGAAGGCAGTGGAAGACTTGGTACAGGTAAGGATAAATGAAAAGAACCCCAAATAGCTATTCTTGCGCGGTTCATCTATGTCCAGCACTGAAAGAATAGAGGTCATGAAATTCTTGACCTCTAACATCGAAGTGTTCGCCTGGACGACGTATGATATGCCAGGCATTGACCCAAACTTTATCTGTCACCAATTAAATGTCCACCCAAATGCCAGACCAATTATATAGCGCACTCGCAGATCAGCACTCCACCACGCCGAGATAGTGACGGAAGAAGTGGGAAACCTTCTAGAGGTGGGAGCTATCAGAGAAGTGCACTACCCCAAGTGGATATCCAACACAGTAGTGGTGCCAAAGAAGAATGGGAAATGGTGTGTCTGCGTAGACTACAAAACAGTCAACAAGGCATGCCCAAAAGATAGCTTTCCCTTACCCAGGATAGACCAACTGGTAGACCTAACAGCAGGGCACAACCGACTTAGCTTTCTTGATGCATACAGAGGTTACCATCAGATCGCTATGTATGAACCAGACTAGGAGGTCACATCATTTACAACGCCAAGAGGACTATATTGCTACAAGGTCATGCCCTTTGGCCTAAAAAACGCAGGGGCAACATTCCAGCGGATGGTCACCAAAATGTTTGAACCATTGTTAGGCAGAACAATAGAGGCATACATAGACGATATGGTGGTCAAAAGAAAGGATGAGAATGACCATCTCAAGGACCTAGATGAGATGTTTCAGATCCTGAAGAAGAACAAGTTACGCCTTAATGCATCCAAGTATGCGTTCGGCGTAGGATCTGGCAAATTCCTAGGTTTCCTGGTGACCAACCGAGGTATCGAAGCAGACCCCTCTCAGATCAAAGCAATCCAGGATCAAGAGAGACCCAACTCAGTAAAAGAAGTGCAGCATCTCACAGGCACGGCAGCTGCGCTCAACCGGTTCATAAGTCGGTCGTTAGACAGATGCCGACCATTCTTCCAAGCACTAAAAGGCAAGTTTGAATGGGATGAAGAATGCGACCGCGCCCTAGAGAGCTTGAAAGAATACATGTCTTCTCCACCGTTACTGGTAACCCCAATACCTGGAGAAGAGCTCTTTTTGTACCTGGCCGTTTCACAGCACGCGATCAGCGCGGTGTTGGTCAGAGCGGAAGGAATCCAACACCTGCCCATCTTTTATGTCAGCAAGACATTGCTGGGCACAGAAACCAGGTACTTACCATTGGAAAAACTGGCCCTGGCCTTAGCCTTGATGATGGCATCGAGGAAGTTGTCGCATTACTTTCATGCCCACACCGTAATCGTTCTCACAGCTTTTCCATTAAAAGCTTTGTTTAAGAGGGCGAATTTTTCTGGGCGAGTCTTGAAGTGGGCGGTGGAATTAGGGCAGTACGATATCAAGTTTCAACCCAGGACCGCAATAAAAGCCCAAGCTTTGGCAGACTTTGTGGCTGAGTTCACGCCAAGAAGCCATCACATCTGCTCAGTTGATTTGACTGGAACAACCGAAATGGGGACGGAAAGTGTCGCAGTAAATGCGCAACCCCTAATACCAGATACTCATCCACATTGTGAATCACACGGGCCTAAAGACAAGCACGAAGAGGTAGACCATGCTACACCAGGCCCCAAAGACACATCAACAAATAAAAACTTGGTATAATCAGATAGTGAGGGGCAAACAGTAAGCATGGACTTGGAAGAAAATACCAGTACCACTCACGACCCTAAGGCATCATTCGATCCCTCTACTTGCTAAAGGCTGTTCGTTGGAGAGATGTGGAAACTCTTCATGGATGGAGCGTCCAACAGACACGATGCAGGATTCGGCATAGTCCTCATCTCACCAAATGGCCTAGTAGTGGAATAGGCAGTCAACCTTAGCTTCCCAGCATCAAACAACAGAGCGGAATATGAAGCGCTTCTGGCAGGACTAAAATCAGCACTCTTCATGAAGGCCACTGAGCTAATGGTCTACAGTGACTCACAGTTGGTGGTAAACCAAATTTCAGGCGACTACGAAGCAAAGGATGAAAGGATGGCTAAGTACCAAGAGTTAGTCAGAAAAGAGATCATGAAGTTCGAAGTAGTGCGAATAGAGCAGATTGGCAGAGAAGAAAACAGCAGAGCAGACGAACTAGCAGGCTTTGCTTCGATGGCAGATATATCCATCCCAGATCCGTTGCTAATTGACTACCTGCCAAGACCAAGCATTGAAGAACCTAAAGTAGAAGAGGTATGTTGCACCGAATTAGGCCCTTCATGGATGGATTCCATTATAATGTTCTTAAAAGACGGCGTCTTACCCGAAGAAAAGAAAGAAGCCAACAAGATCAGAGTAAAGTCGCAGCGATTTTGGCTCTCCCCATCAATGGCCTTGTACAAAAAATCCTTCACAGGACCTTACTTGAAATGCGTCCATCCTAGCAAGGTTGAGGCATTCTTGTTTGAGATACACGAAGGCCTATGCAGGAGCCACCAAGGGGGAAGATCATTAGCCTACAGAGCGATTTCGCAGGGATATTGGTGGCCTTACATGCAAGCGGATTCAGAGAAGTATGTCAAGAAGTGCGAGAAATGTCAGAAGTTCGCACACCAAATACATCAACCAGCCAGAGAGCTTCTACCATTAACTACCCTATGACCCTTCGCAATGTGGGGCTTAGACATAGTAGGGCCACTTCCAACGGCACCCGACAATAGAAAGTTCTTTCTTGCAGCAATAGACTACTTCACAAAGTGGGTGGAGGCAGAAGCACTCGCATCAATAAAGGAGAAAGATGTGAAGAAGTTCGTCTGGCAGAATATTATCACTCGATTTGGCATACCCAAGGCTCTAATATTTGACAACGGCACTCAGTTCGATGGTAAAATCTTCAGAGGCTTTTGTGAGGAGTACAAGATAGAATTCTACAACTCTACACCAGCATAACCCCGAGCAAACGGCCAGGCGGAAGCATCAAACAAAGTCGTCTTGGATGGATTGAAGAAAAGATTAGAGAAAGCAAAAGGAAAGTGGGCCGAGGAGCTTCCTCATGTTCTATGGGCTTACCGCACCACACTTCGGCGATCAACTGGAGAAACGCCATTCTCCTTAGCCTATGGCATGGAAGCAATAATCCCACTGGAAATTGGCCTCCCCACCATCAGAAGCTAAAATTTTGACCCAGAGTTAAATGGAGAAGCCATAGCCTTGGAGCTCGACCTTGCAGAAGAAAGAAGAGAAAGAGCACTGGTTCACATCACCTCATACCAGCAAGAGTTATCTAGAAAATACAACAAGACCGTACATCCGAGGCAATTCAAGATTGGAGATTGGGTACTGCGCAAAGTAATGGGAAACACCCAGGTACCCGGAGATGGCAAGTTAGGGCCCAATTGGGAAGGACCTTACAAAGTGATTGGATTAGCAAGAAAATGGGCATACCACTTGGAAGATGAAGACAGCAAAGCCATTCCCAAGCCATGGAACACTGCCAATCTCAAACTATTCTATTTTTAGCTTTTCTATTAAGTACATGTAATTTTCCCTTTTTTTCAATAAAACAAGTAATTTCTTTTTAACACAATTGTTGTCCGCTGTAAAAGTTGTTTTAGCGAGCTAGGGGCATTGTATGCAGAGTTGGCCGGAATAACAAACTTTGCGCTCTCTTCAGCTAAGATTAAGATCTGGGCTGAAAAGGTTGGCTGGAAAACCAACACCTCTCCTAAGCCGAGGATAAGGATCCAGGCTACAGGATGTTTGGCAGGAAAAACCAAACACTTCCCTCTACGTTGCCCAGAATAACCAACCTAGAGCTCTCTTCAAGGTAAGATAAGGATCTGGGCTGAAGAAGTTGGCTGGAAAAACCAACACATCTCCTAAGCCGAGGATAAGGATCCAGGCTGCAGGACGTTTGACTGGAAAACCAAACACTTCCCTCTACGTTGGCCGGAATAACCAACCTGGAGCTCTCTTCAAGCTAAGATAAGAATCTGGGCTGAAGAAATTGGCTGGAAAAACCAACACCTCTCCTAAGTCGAGGATAAGGATCCAGGCTGCAGGATGTTTGGCTAGAAAAACCAAACACTTCCCTCTACGTTGGCCGAAAAACCAACCCGGAGCTCTCTTCAAGCTAAGATAAGGATCTAGGCTGAAGAAGTTGGCTGGAAAAACCAACACCTCTCCTAAGCCGAGGATAAGGATCCAGGCTGCAGGGCGTTCGGCTGGAAAAACCAAACACTTCACTCTAAGTTGGCAAGAATAACAAACTTTGAGCTCTCTGAAGCTAAGATTAGGATTTGGGCTGAAGAGTGGGTTGGTTGGAAAAACTAACACTTATTGCTCTTCAGTCAAAATAAAGATTTAGGCTGAAGAGTGGTTGGCTAGAAAAACCAACACTTATTGCTCTTCAGCCGAGATAAGGATCTAGGCTAAAGAGTGGTTGGCTGAAATACCCAACTCTTCGTACTCTTCAGCCGAGATAAGGATCCAGGCTGAAGAGTGGTTGGCTGGAATAGCCAACTCTTAGTACTCTTCAGCCGAGATACGGATCCAGGCTGAAGAGTGGTTGGCTGGAATAACCAACTCTTAGTACTCTTCAGCCAAAATAAGGATCCAAGCTGAAGAGTGGTTGGCTAGAGTAAACAACTTTTGGTAATCTTCAGCCGAGGTAAAAACCTAGGCTGAAGAGGTTGGCAGGTATTATTGGAGATTTCAAGGTTAAGACTGAGATAGGCATCTCGGCAAGAAAATGTTATACTGCATTAAAGATTATAATTGAAAAGTAAATACAAGCATGGCAGTAAACCGAAACAACAGTTGAAACAAAAGAAGCCGTTCACTCAAAGTTCAAAGTTAGAGTTACAAAGGAGCGGGAATATAACCTGGTTACAGTTTCTTTCCAAAAGTAAAAAGAAAAAAAAAAGATCAAGAAAAGAGATCATCAAGATCCGCGTCCAGTTCAACTCGAAGCCCGGTTTCAGTAGGTAGCTCGGTCACACTTTCAACCAAGTCTTCCATCGGGGGCTCCACCCGAGCTGATTGAACGGCGGGATCACTGGCGATAACCGGCGCATTGTTGGGCTCTGGGGCCTCTTCTTCATCATCATCTTGAAGAATTTTTTGTTGAATGGCGTGGGCGTACTACGCCATGTAGCTTGGTATAAAATGTGGTGGAGGGTTGAGGAAGACCTCGGTCTCTTGGCTAAGACCAAGCTGCGTTGCCGCCGCCTTCCATCCACATTTGAAAAATATGTCTTTGGCAGCCTCGCATTACTGGATGTAGATGTCCTCTCCCTCATTGTAACCTCGGTTTTCTACATCTTCCACGTTCTTCTCCAACCGAGCGATTTCATCGTTCTTCTTTTTCTCGAGCTTGGCCAGCCCGCGCAAATATTTGTCTTTCAGCATGGCTGCAGCCTTCAGCTTGTCTGCTTCGGCTGAATTGACTAGGTCGGTTAGCTGGGCTACTTCAGTCTGTAGCTCGGCCATCTTTTGCCTTGATTCTTTTAGCTCGGCTGTTTTGGCATTGGCCTCTGCCATGGCCTCCCGAGTGATCTTTCGAAGTTCCAGCACGCGCTTGTGTGCGATGTGGTTCTTCTGTAAGGCCTGCAAGAAGGGAGAAACAATTTTTGGGATAAACCGAGAGAAAATATGTTGAAATTTAGTGAAGGAAAAGGAGAACTTACCAACACCATTGATTTTGAAGCTGAGCGAATGGCCTTCAGCTCGGTAAGATGATCGTGGTGATCCATATCGGCTGGAAGGTAGATGCTCTTGGCCAGATTAAAGGCCAGCATATGGTCTTTCTCCGCGACCACTGAGTCGGAGTCAGTGATAGCGCGATTCTTGTAGGTAACCTTAGGCACCCACTTGGAAGAGCTAGCTCGTTTAGAGCGCTCCGGTTGTGGGCTGGGCGGTGTGGATTACGGAAACACGGTGTCTTCTTCATCAAGGAGGCGCAGCTCGGTCGTGGAAGTCCGGGCGCGCTTGTTTGGCCGAGATGAAAAAGGCTGTGCGGTTGGTAGGGCTACCACGGCCTCTTGTGATTGGCCGGTGGGCAATGCTTCGACTTGATTTTTCTTGGTGATTAGGGCCCTAACGGCTCTCTTCTCTCTATCTCTTGCTCTGTTAATTGGATGAGGTTGATTTGTGGAAGGGAAGGATCAGGCTCAGGTGAGGGCTCCAACAAAAAGTCGGTCACCCTGGTCTTGCGCCTGATGCTATATCTATACGTCGGCTCAAAGTTGAGTAGCTCGGCCCAACTCCGATTGGGATATCTTAGCGCAGCGCGGACGGTGGCAAGGTTTGGATAGCTGTACTGGGACTTGAGAAAATTCAAATCTGCATGAAGTAAAAAGGACAACAGTTAGTACAGTTCAAGATATGAAACCGAGGTAAAAGAAAGTAGAAAACTGAGCCGAAGTAATTATACCGGCGACTCCTGTAGTCTAGTTTATTCGGTCGCCGGAATCTGGGCTTCTTGGTTTTCGAAGTTCCCAGAAACCCAGAAGAAATCATCGTCGTTTACATCCTTATCTGGGGTATTCTTTATTATCTTTTCACGCCGGTGCCTTATTTTTAAATAGTAAACCCAACCATCTTCATTTGATCCCATGGAATATTGGTGGAAGAGCTCGGCTAAACTGAGATTAAGGCCAGCCCGGCGGTTTAGGTCGGCGATGCCATTTATTATGCGGTATGAATTTGTGGAAAGCTGGGTAGGGCAGAGGTTGGTTTGTCTAAGGAACTCGCAAAGAAGAGGCTGTACAAGGAATCTAAGTCCGGTTTCTACAATGGAAAGAAGGGTAAAGGGAACAAAGCCAGGGTTTCCCCAGGTGTGGTATCTAGTTCGGCTAAGATAAGATGGACATCATCAGGGATATGGTAGTCGCTTCGAAACTCGGCCATGGCACCTGGTGAGTTTACTAAAAACCTATATTTACCCATGTGGATTTAAGTTAAGTATAAATTAGCAGAGAGTACTAGCTCGGTGCTGAGATGACGTTGGTCATCTCGGTTGGACGTTCAAAGGAGTGCCTGGGCAACCTAGTCAAAGTTTGCAAAGTGAAAAAAAAATGTGTTAAGCACAGATCGTTGGACCGTGCCCAAACAAGTTTCTAGCTCGGTCACACCACGATTCCAGATTCAAGCATTGCGATTTTTGAATCCAGAGGGTGTGCTCTTAAAAACATGAACCTATGGTTTGGGGGTCTTGCTTTTTCTATTCTTACCCATAATGTGTTTATATAGAGTATGCTTTGTGATATATATGTGTATGTATATATCTATATTATGTGTATTTGCAAAATGAATGGAAAGCAAGAGAAGATTGAATCACTTACAAGTATGGAGGCAAGTTGATGAAGATCGAAGTCGCAAGAAAGAACACGAGCTTTGCAAAAAACAGTGGTTGCAGAAATGGAGGCTCAAACAAGAGAGAGAGAGAATGTGAATAGTGCAAATGAATGATTCAAAAAGTAGGGATTTTGCTTTGTGTAAGACTTTTTGGGCGGGACTGTTCAAATATTGCGAAGTACGAAGACGGCTGGATAGCTGCATTGGGCCAATCGGAGTTTGCCACGTGTCCTTGGAATGAGAAGCGATTCAATTACAGAGATTGAAGAGACGTTTTGACTGGATAGATTGATATCCCGGTCTGAATTTAGCTCGGTTGAAAGGCTGAAGTTTTTAGCTCGGCTGGTAAAAGATAATCCCTATCATGCTGCGCAGATGGAATTAAGGGGCAATTGAGAGGGTAATTTATATATAAATTGAGCCGAGCTGGGTGATGGACCGTTCTGTGGGCCACAGTAAAAAGGGCTGAGTAAAAGAGTTTTATAGTTAGCCCGGTCTAGAAAGAGCTTTGTAGTTAGCTTGGTCACTACGGTCTGAGTAGTAGCAGTTAGCTCGGTCATACCACTAAGGACCGGGGTATTTTGGGCTTTTACTCAGAACCTTGCTATTGAATAGCTCGGTCCAAGCATGCTGTGGATAGCACGGTCTCAAGAAGTGAAACCGAGGTACAAGTTGTAAAAGGAAGAACCGAGCTAGTCAGAACTCGGTCAATTCTGCCAGTCTAGCATGGCTGTTTTAGCTCGGTCGTTTTGTCATACGACCGAGGTATAACCATCTCACTTGGTTTAAGCAATGAGGGGGGTGTTGAATGATAAGCATTATCTTTCAGGAGTGTGATCCCTAGGAGGACTCTACGTGGAGGAATAAGAATCGTACTAAGATTGTGCCACACGAAACCTATAAAAACTCACAACATCACCTATGGAGAGGTAAAACAACTTTGATTCCTGAATTCACAGAGCTTTTGTGTCTATTGTCTGTTGTGCTGACTTAAGCATCGGAGGGGTTTCCGGCACACACCCGCCGGTTAGCTCACGCTTGTATTTTCAGGTGGCAAAGTGACGACGTAAGAAGGAGCGCAAGCTTGATCAACAGAATTATACGAGAAGAATTATTTCGTGCTTGTACAACAATCAACAAATATATATATATATATATTTTGCCTAATTTTTCTAAGTTTTCCCTTGTTTTTTCTTCTTTAATTAAATTGTTTAGAATGATAATTAACTTGACAAACCAACAGGGTATTCTGTTTGGTGAGAACTCTTGCACCTCCTTTAAGTGATTAGTAGTTTGAATTTTTCCAATTGAGTGTAACTTGTAAGTTTTATTTTCATTTGTATTTATTGGAAGCTTTAGATTTTATGATAATATTATATATGAATCAGAAGAAAAAATAAAGAAAATTGTTGGAAAACCATGCAATCTCAAGTTTTAACCAGAATCTAAAGCTTATTCATGTTTCTCTGTACCCCTGTATTGATGGAATTCAATGGGAAGTTTGCATAATTAGGCCAGTTGAAGAGAAACACAAAGCTGCTACATCTAAATAAAATTTGTACAATTTTTAAGTATTCTTTAGTATTTTAAGAGTTTGGATTATGTTTTTATTGGGTTCTCTAAATTTTTTTAACTTTTAGTGTTTTTTTTAAGATAATATTATTTACATATATATATATATATATTTTAGTTAAATAAAAAATTAGTAAAAAAAAAAGTTATCTACTACGTGGGGAAATCTACTACTTGGTAATCTATCAGTACCTGCAGGCGGGGACCTTTCAAATGAGTATTAAAGCAAAGAGTAAATTATAAATACATTTCTTAATATTTGTTTACAATATAAACTGCTTTGTATGATTTGAAAAATTATAAATATCCCTTATCAAAAAAATTTATTCAACAAAATTAATTGAAGAAAATAAACTTTCTAACTACTCTCTTACATGATAATTAAACTATATGAATTATTAATTAAAATAAATTTCTGACATCATTAAAAACTATTAATTAACTTGATGATTTATTATAAAATGGTTATTTATTATGAAATTAAAATTTCAAGGGAGATCTAACTGCAAGGAGTAATCTATATTTTAAACAAATTTCAGTGGTGTATTTATAATTTACTCTAAAGAAAAAGGCATAATTTTATTTTATTTTTTCCAAACTACTATTATTTTGTATATTTTATTTTTAAACTATCAATTTTATCTATTTAGTCTCTGAATTTTCTATTTTAATTCCTGTGATAAATTGGTGAAGATTATACAAATTAATAACAATTGAACATAATTTCATGTTAAAAAAGGAGTGCTTTGTTTTATGATTTAAGTTTGTTGAAATTTTAAAATGCCGCTTTTATCGATCAAATCAAGTTTCAATGATTATTATTTTATGATAAAAATAAAAAAATAAAATCATTTTACCCAACAAATTAAGCTTTAATGGTTATAGAGATTCATACAATTTTCTTCAATAGAATCAAATGAATTAAAAGTTAAAAATTTTAAAAATATGTTTGAATTATGAGTTTTAGGTAAGAATTTGGAAGGAAGGAAGAAAAAAACTGAATGAAATGTGAATAAAATATAATTACATTTCACTAATCTTTTTTTCTTTTTCTTTTCAAATTTCCATTCAAATTAATGATCCAAATACAATCTTGATAGTTTAAGGATGAAATAAATAAATAGTGATAGTTTAGTAATAAAAGTGAAATTAACATGAAAAAAGAAAAGAGGAAGAAGAAGAGGGGAGAAATGACCTTCATTCTGGGCCGTCGATCAGCGTTAACTTTTCTGACCTGGTATCTAATCTTCTTAGAGAAGAGGCGTGTACGTCGCTTCTCCTTGTAGCGCAACACGCTGGCCTCTCTCAACCCTCCTCCGCTCTCCCACATCAACTCTATCTGCGCCATCCTTGCCTGTCCCCAACCAAAAAACCACACAAAGGGATTGATTCAGTGCTCCGCAATCACAAATTAAACATAACAACTACTCTCATCATGTTTTCCTTAAATAATTAGAAATAGGCATAAATAGACTCCAAAAGTTGCATTAAATTAATAATTAAAGATTCATAACAAAAAATATATATATAATTTAAAATAACATTGACGATGATTAAAATAGTTAGATCTGTTTCTATCTATAAAATAAATATGTTGTCCCTATTCTTTTATGTTGTGTTTGGTTGAGGGATTTGAGAGGGGATTTGGAAAGAGAAATGGAAAAGGTAGGTGAAATGAGACTAAAATATGCCTAAATTTCACATAGTTTCACACACCTTTTCCCTTTCCCTTTCCAAATCCCTCCCCAAATCCTCCAACCAAACACAGTATTAAGGTGTGAAGCCTACTAAATAAGAGTTGAATTTGGAGTATATATATATATTCTGAATAAATGTCTTTATAAGAATTCTGAGTCACTGTATTAAAAATGGCCAGCTAGAAATACTAGATTGTTATTTTAGACTGTTCAACTGACCCATTAAACAAAAATAATAGAATGGTCCCACAAAACAAACAAAAAATGGCTGAGCCCGGTGGCCGAGTCATATGTAATCTCGTCTTAGACTATGGTTAGCAGAAAGTCTCGGGTTTAAATTGATGAATCAGCGATGACCTTTTAAATTATAATCTAATTTTATTAACATATTAATATTCTTATCTTTAATAAACAAATAAAATAAAAGATGAGAAAGATCGGAGTCATAACCACCGTTGGATGGTGGCATTATCTATCAAAACATCCAACAAATACAGGATCGTATGGTAGAAAAAATTTACAAAAGAGAAGGGAATAAATAAATAAAAACACACACACACTACTGAACTTAAAAATAACAGAATGTGGCTTTGAGACAAACAAACAGGGTCTAAATTTCCAAGGAATTTGATTTCCCGTCGGGAGATGAGAAACCTACATGGAGATCATTCCTGGACATCTCACTGGCTGGAAATGGAATTTCCTCCGAAAATGGCGACCCACGATTGGACCAAGCATTCACAACTTCATCGTAGTTCAATTTCAGGAGCAACCCTGGATTGGATTTGGGAATGGAATTCTCTTTCTCATTCTCTTTCTCTTCCACTGGTTTTTCAATCTTCTTTTTCTTCTTTTCTGCGGGAGCTTTGCTGAGTTTGGGGGAGATTTCAACAACATCTACAGTAGGAAACCTCCACCAATCTCTCTCCTCATCAACATGTCTCAATGCTCTAACACCTCTCCTTCTCATCCCAAAACCCACATCGAATTTCCCTCCGAATCCCAACCCAATTGGATGACCATAGCAAGAATTGATCTGACCACTATAACTACTAGAAACATTGGACTCATCCATTGACTCATCGTTCACACTCACACTTAGATTCCCCATAATACTGTCAATACCCTCTTCAATTTCCTCATCAAGTATCGATTCTGCATCGAAATCCTCTTGCAAGTTGAAGGAATCCTCCGCCTGGAATTCATTTTCCACCGGGCTCTGGCATGGCTTTTCACAGGAACTCACAACTCTTGGAGATGTTGTCTCGAATCGAAAATTGGGTTTTTCTGGGATTGGTTGATGGAGTAAGAAACCAGAATTGTCAAATACGCGAAAGGGTAGAAGCAAGTCAGATTGATTCAAGAAAGTGTCATGTGGGTGTGGATGTAGCTTGGTGAATTTGCAAGGCTTTGTTAGGTGTTTGGTAGAGAAAATGCTAGGGTAGGCGGTCGAGAGAAGTGCCGCAGCCTCGTTGTAGGTTTCGTTCGGCCGTTTTCGAGGAGTTCGAGGTTTTCGGGTTGAGATTGCCAGTGGGGAATTGCTAGACTCAGAGAGAGTTGAAGAAGGAGAAGATGAATGCGAAATTCTGGTTGAAGTTGATGGAGATTTCACTATTTCTAGATCGAATCCATAAGCCCGGCTGCCTCCGCTTAAACACGAAGACATTTCTGGGATGAAATTCAAAACAAAGAATGAAATAATTCAATCCAACCAAGATAATAGGAAACCTTTTTCCTTCTTCCTTCAGCAAAGAGCCACAGATTAATTAGTTCCAGGCAGAGTCTCACAAAATTCAGAAACAGAAGCTGAAGAACAGTGAGGATTCAAGGCTTAGAAGCCTAAAGAAAGAAGACAACTGAAATTGAAACTAGTGACAAAACCTCAAATTGATGAAGAAAACCCAGTTCTAATTCGTATCAATTGGTGATAGAGATTACAACCCAGTTCAGGATTGCCTAGAAAGTACTAGAATCTGAGGTTGTCAGGCTGTAGTTGAACAGGTAAAATATTTCCTAAAGTACAAAACCCTAAACCCTACAACTATCACTCCTATAAACAAAAGTTGATTTTATTAATACAAAAAAAAAGGCAAGAGAGAAAAAAGCCAAAACTTTTAACAGTATATATTAGAGTACAAGAAGATACCAGAACCCTTTAAAAACAGAAAAACCTGAGAAAAGCTTCGACTAACAAAACCCTAAAAAACTCATCTTAAATTCATCGAAACAAGCAAACTAGTACTATTTTGGTATATGAAAAACCCTAAAAGCCTATTATACCAATTTTGAGTTATATGAGAAAAGTGGGCGTATGCTTATGATGAAGTAGAAGCAAAACAGAGTATCTACAGTGACAGAGAAAAACCCAGAAAGAACAAACCTAATGAAATGAATTGAAAACCCAAAATTGAAAGTTATAAATGAGATAGATTTTGGCACCCAAAGGGATTGAGAAATTTGTGACAAATGAAAATTTATCCAATAGGGTAATGGAATACTCCAGTCGGGAGAGAGAAAGAATATGTTTATATATATGTAGCACAGAAACAGAAGGACAGAAGATTGTTTTGTGCAGAGTGAGTCACGGGACGACTCATGCATACAAGAGGAAAAGATCCGTTGGGAGTTTTGTTTGTAGAAACAGCTACAAATAGCTCGGACAGATTCTCACTCTCTTCTCTCTCTCTCTCTGTCTCTTTCTCTCTGTAGAGTGGACGGAAGGGATTGAGGAAGTGGGTTTGAGTGGTAGAGATGACAACAGAGGAAGAGACAAAAGGCTTCAACACTTGTCTGGGTGGGACCACTGTTCTCTCTCTAAAATTCTTCATTTACTAAAATAGCCTCGTTGTCTAGTCTTTTACCAATGCCCTCCAGCTCAATCCATGTCATTACAAAAAAATAAAAAGAATAAAAAAAAAAACACCAACCCTTTTCTCACCAACAAATTAATAAAATAAAATTTTATTATTAAAGTCTACAGAAGCAAAGAAACATTCAGAAACTCTCCTGAGCTTGAGAAGTTCATTAGGAGCATATGTTTGTCTTTTCCATTTTTATTTTTTATTTTTTTCTTTAAGCGAGAATATATATATTTTAATGATATTTGTCAATCATAAAAGAGGCCTAGTTAATGTTATGCTAATAACGACATGTGACCAATTGCTGGCCCTTGATGTAGTTATTATCACCCACTACATTCTGTAAATCCATTTTAACACAAAGTATTAAAAGTTTTTATTTTTCTTCTTTTAAAGGCAAGTATGTTAAAAATAAACAAATTTATACAGTAGAATGGTGGAATGGGATGGCACAGTAGGCTACTGCGATGCTCGAAGAGAGGTTGTCTTGATCATTTTCAATGATCCGAATCATTTATATTATAAGATTTGTTGAGTAAATCATTTATATAAAAAAATTAAATTGATTGGACATTTGTAATTTCATAACAAAAGCACATTTATTTTTTAAAAAATAAACAGTTGTCATCATTTTGATAATTTTTTTTAAAACAATTAAGATTTGATCATGTAATTACGGATATTCAATTAACTTAATTATTATTATTATTAATTTTTTGTTTTTTTGTTTTTTTGTTTTTTTGTTTTTTTGTTTTTCTGTTTTGTTTTTGTTTTGTTTTTTTTTTTTTGTGAATGGTATACTCGATAAACCTTACAATATGAACAATTTGTATCATCAAAATATACTCAATAAACACTTTAAAAATAATTCACAACAGGACTGCTGTGTTTTAGGGAACAACAGCATCTCACAGACCTACAATAGTATTTCTTGTGTTAATAAATCCCACGATAGAGACCAGCTCAATAGAGATGAGAAATCATTCCATAAGGATCTAATAAATATCTAATTAGAAAAAACAGATTTAATAAATATAGAAAATCATACAACGAATCATATTTTAACAAAATAAAACCAACAAAATAGCAAGTTCACTATTGAAATTTCATAGAAAGACCATCACCATTAAAATAAGGTCTTAAAAGATAAACCACAGTTAAAAATTAAAAGATACAAGTATTTTCTTTTATTTATTAACTACTACTTTCTACTCATTATTCCTCAGTTTGTTTAGAATGAAATAGGTAGAAAGTGAAAGAAAGTGAAAAAATTTAACTTTTATGAGTTTGTTTAGCTTAAAAGTGGTAGAAAATATAAGAAAACTAATTTTCTTGTACAACCCATATTAGCATTCTAACTAATCTTTTATTTCTTGCAAAAAAAAAAAAAAAAAAAAAAAAAATTTCTTGCAAAAAAAAAAAAAAAAAACACAAGAAAACACAAGAAAAATTGAATGTGTGAGTTATCTATGATTAAATTTTTAAATTTTTCTTACAAAATTTTAATCTTAATCAAATACTTGTAAGAAAATATATTTTCTTTTCTATTTCTTTTCTTTCACTTCATTTCTTTTACTTTCACTTTCTACCAAATTTTCTTTCGAATCAAACGGAGCCTGTAAAACTAACTACAATATTTTGGTTAGTTGTCATGCATTTGTAATGGAATTTTATGCTTTGACCTTTAATTTGGTTTTCTTAAATGCCTATTATTGCTTGAAGACAAAATAATTAAGATACTGATATTTACATAACATTTCTATTAATTTAATTGAACCATGTGGCAATATTTGCTAAAGTCTAGCACGATGTCTCATTTCCAAAAGCGAAATGATTTATCAAGAATACTATCTCTTTCTAACTCTTTCTCTTGAGTCATAATACATATGCTTTTATTGATAAATATTTTTTTTATCGGGTGTTGATAAATAAGTTAAGGCGACTCAAATTCAAGTCTCTTTATTTACGAAATACGGTGTAAGTAGACATATAAATTTACGTAATATAGTATGTTTTGAATCTGTAAAGATTTTTAACTAAACATTTGGACTAACAAACAAATTAAAACTAATAAGAAACACCATATAAAAGATAAATAATTCAGCTTTTATTAGAAAATTTTGGTACAGCTTCTACATAATGCATGTCTATTTTAAATTACTTTCATGTGCACTTGTTCATTACCAATTTTATTTTTATTTTTTAAATTGTTGTGTAGTATGCTCCTTTGAATCTGATGAAAAATAAATAAATTGCAAACAATATTTATTGCTAAATAATGTCTTGGAATTTAATTAAAAATAAGATAATGTATTAGTATAATAATTTTCTATCTTCACAAGAGTAGAAGTTGACATTATCAAATAATTTGATGTTTCTAATTCTACCGTAACCTAATAGCATGAGAGACGTTATATAAAAAAATAAAAAACTAAAAATAGAAAATGATGGCATGTATGTAACACATATTTTATGTTATTTCAAGCATTTTAAATTATTATTATTTTTTTTAATGGAGGTGTTAATTATTGGAGGCAAGAAAAGAAGATCCAAACGATTGAAGGCAATCCAGCTATATAAAATTTGCATATGAGGGTAGTTTGGTAATTATACGCAAGCATGGATGTCCTCCGGATTGGCTTTGATCCAAGTATGCCAACGCTACCCGTACACCTACAAAAATTTCATGGGAAAGTTTCTTATCTGATGACATGGCAAAACGTTATTGGGCGTTTGAGATTTTTAGGGCTGACGTGGATTGTCCTTTATTGGTTGCCGGATTTTCACGTGTATCAGGCAGAGGAGAGGCTGTTTTTAATTTTTTTAATTATTTTTTATGATTTTGGATCTCTGATAAGTGCAATGATTTGAGATTTTTTTTGGTGTTTTGTGGGGTTTTATTTGTGGTAGATGATAATCATACGTTTGGCTCTTTAGGTTCAATGGCTTCTGATTATAGTAACCAAATTGTCTTTCACTTTTTTGCATAACAGTCCCTATGCTGCAACTCTTTTCGCCCTAAACCCATATTTAGGCTTGGTATTTGCGTTTACAGCAATGCTATATATATGAAGGTAAAAAAATGAACATTAGAAATAACCCTGTCCATTGGTTATGGAATTGAACATGTGTGAACATTATTTTGGGGTACTTTTATAGGTCTCACATTTGACTATCATGGGACACAAAAATATTCAGCTTTAACCCATATATATGCGGATTTGCAAGTGATTTTTTTTTTTTTTTATGAATTAGTTTGTAAGTGATTGTGTGTTATCGAAATTGACACCCCCTGAGGTTTATATTTATTACAGTTCTCCTTCACCTTTTGGAAATTACATCTCCCCCTGAGATTTAAAGTTTCATTACAGATTCCCCCCTTCAGCAATTTAATTTTTTTAAATGCCAATTTTTCCCTCATTGGGTAAATTACATTGACACCCCTCACATTATATAAATTACAATCCCCTCCCTAAGGTTTAAAGTAACATTACCAATTGCCCTTTTTACAGCAATGCTATATATATGAAAGTAAAAAAATGAACATTAGAAATAACCCTGTCCATTGGTTATGGAATTGAACATGTGTGAACATTATTTTGGGGTACTTTTATAGGTCTCACATTTGACTATCATGGGACACAAAAATATTCAGCTTTAACCCATATATATGCGGATTTGCAAGTGATTTTTTTTTTTTTTTATGAATTAGTTTGTAAGTGATTGTGTGTTATCGAAATTGACACCCCCTGAGGTTTATATTTATTACAGTTCTCCTTCACCTTTTGGAAATTACATCTCCCCCTGAGATTTAAAGTTTCATTACAGATTCTCCCCTTCAGCAATTTAATTTTTTTAAATGCCAATTTTGCCCTCATTGGGTAAATTACATTGACACCCCTCACATTATAGAAATTACAATCCCCTCCCTAAGGTTTAAAGTAACATTACCAATTGTCCTTTCGGTTAGTATTAGTTAGAAAAAAAATCATTGAAAAAAAAATTATTTGAAAAAAAAATTAATTGAAATTTTTTTTTGTTAGTAAAGTTTTTAAATTTCTATTTAAAAACCAACGTAACCTCATTTTTTGAATTTATGTTTTTTTCTCAAATTTACAAACTGAGACAACTATTTATAAACTAAAAAAATTATCAAACAAGTTTTTATGACTGTTTTTTTAAATTTTTGTAAATACAAATTGGAAATTGAAAACGAAATGGTTACCAAACAAGCTTGATGGTAAAAATGTCATAAAATTAACAAATAATTAAATAAGTTATCAACGTAAGAAATGACTTCTCAAAAATTCTTAGGCTATGTATAATTTGATTTTTAGAAATTTTTTTAAAAAATTAAAAATTAATTTGGTTAAGAAATAAAAAATAAAAAAGTAAAAAATATTATGTGTTTAGTGGTACATAGCCTAAGGATTTAGTATTCTTAGGCTATGTACGGTTTGATAATGTGTTTGGTGGTACATAGCCTAAGAATTTATTCTTAGGCTATGCACGGTTTGATAATTATTTTTTATTTTTTATTTTTTATTTTTTATTTCTTAACCAAATTAATTTTTAATTTAAAAAAAATTCTAAAAATCAAACCATACATAGCCTAAAAATCTTTTGATAAGTCATTTTTTACGTTGGTAACTTATTTAATTATTTGTTAATTTTATGAAATTTTTACCATCAAGCATGTTTGGTAACAATTTCGTTTTCAGTTTTCAATTTATATTTACAAAAATTTTAAAAACTGTCATAAAAACTTGTTTGATAATTTTTTTGGTTTATAAAAGGTTGTTTAGTTTGTAAATTTGAGGAAAAAATGTAAATTCAAAAAAT